TTTAGAGGAGAATGTAAGTAGGTTTGCGGTGAGTCTAAAGTATTTCCTAAAGGCCTGGAAAACAATCACTGAGGACAAGATTGTCATTCAGTGTGTGCAAGGGTATAAAATACCTTTTAAATCGGTTTCTGTGCAAACTCGTCCATCACCTGACAGGGTTTGGTCAGGTCAGGAACTGGCAGGCATACAATTTGAGATTAACAGACTGCTTTCGATAGGTGCGATTGAGGAAGTAAAAGGGGTTCTTGAACAATTTCTGTCACCGTTCTTTTTGGTCCCTAAGCCGGATTGTCAACAGAGGTTTATTTTGAACCTGAAGGAATTGAATACGTCTATTGACGCAGAACTTTTCAAACTCGAGGACCTTAGATCCGTTTATAACCTTTTAGAGCGTGATATTTCCATGGGTACGGTGGATCTTAAAGATGYTTACTTTCTAATTTCAATATGGAAACCACACCGGAGATTTCTGATATTYGCCCTTAAGGAGAAAATTTATGAGTTTGTCTGTTTGCCCTTCGACTTATGCACGTGTACATTAGCATTTACAAAGTTATTGAAGCCAGTGATAAACTACCTTTGCTTGAAAGGGTTTTTGTCGGTCGTATACTTGGACGACTTCCTATGTTTTGGTCATTCGGTTTACAGAGTGCAGCGAGAACCTGAGTCAGACGATCGAGGTCTAACTCGAGAGGTTAGGATTCATTGTGAACTTTGAGAAGTCCAAGTTGAAGCCTAAAAGAAGATGTAAGTATAAAGGCTTTATTCTTGACTCATCTACAATGAGAGTGGAGCTTCTAGGAGAAAAAAAAGCTTCAGTACGGAAACAGATCGAGGATCTTAAGAAGAAGGGCACGGTGAAGATCCGTGACTTTGCCAAGGTTGTGGGGTCAGTGGTAGCGTGTTGTCCAGCAGTTAAATACAGTTTGTTACACTGTATATCATTCGAAAGGGCGAAAGTCCAAGCTCTAGAAAGAAATAAGGGATGTTTTGATTCAGCCATGGCAGTACCGAAATTTACCTTAGAGGACTGGGATTGGTGGGTAAAGGCCTTACTAAAAGCCAGTAGGAAGGTAAAGAATAACCAATATGAGAGAACAATCTTTTCAGACGCATCATTGTCCGAGTGGGATGCGTTCTGTGGAAGCGAAAGCGCCAATGGGTTATGGAGTCAGGAAGAGAGAAGTCTTCATATAAATCACCTGGAGCTTAAAGCGGCGCAATTGGCCTTGAAGTGTTTTGCGACGGACCTGAGGACACTGATGTCTTACTTATGGTGGACAATAGGACAACGATGGCATATATTAGTAGGATGGGTGGTGCTCGTTATGCCGGGCTACATAGATTGGCGAGTGAACTGTGGAATTGGTGCGAGGGCCGCCAATTATGGGTGTATGCCTCGTAGATCCCGTCAAAGGAAAATGGGGAGGCTGACCGATCCTCAAGAATCAATAACTCAGACGCGGAGTGGTAATTAGCAAATTATGCGTTTAAAACAATCGTTAGAAGATTCGGGAATCTGGAGATCGATCTATTTGCTTCACGAATCAATACCAAATACGCGGTTTATTGTTCGTTGAGGAGAGATCCAGAAGCCTTTGCGTTTGAAGCTTTTAAAGTTAGTTGGTCTGACTGGATATTTTATGCCTTTCCCCCCCCCCTTTTTCCATCATAACTAGAGTAATTAAGAAAATCAAAGATGATAAGGCAGAAGGAATTGTGGTTTTACCTTATTGGCCTACTCAGGTTTGGTTTCCGGCCCTTAAGGAACTCTTTGTGAGAGACTGGGGTTGGTTTGAGGCAGATATTAAATTTTTGGTTTTCCCGTGTAGGTCACGACATCATCCCTTACCTGAGAGACTTACCCTGGTTGCCGCCAGGTTATCAGCCAGGCACATGTAATCAAAGGCATGCCTAAGAAAGCAGTGGATATCTCGCTAGCTTCACTAACAGAAGCAACACTAAAAAATTACAATGGAACCTTGAAGCTCTGGTGGCGTTGGAATAATTAGGTCATCGGAGATCCATATGAGGTGTCTGTGGAAAAGGTTCTGAAATTTTTGACGGAAAGATTCGATGATGGAGTTGGACATAGCTYGCTAAACACAGGCAGGGCGGCATTATCCTTGATATCGAACAAGGATATCACGAACAGCTCTTTAATAAGCCGATTCATCAAGGGTTCTTTAAGGATGAGACCTGGAGATCCTAAATACGAATCCACTTGGGATGTAGACTGTACGATCCGAAATGATCGTACGGTAACTAGCGGTATTCGAAAGTCGCGCGTCCGATTCTATCGATTAAGATTCTAGATCGATACTCGTTACGAGTATCGAACTACCAGCGATTATCAAAGCGCTACGATAGTAACCACCACCTCTTGCATCCCATCTCCTCACATACCTAACACATACGCCCTGCTGGGCCAGTACAAAAGGACATTCTTTCCATTCCACCACCGGACGCCTACGATGATACACCTTCGGCATCTAAAGAATATAGAAGCCATACTGGACAAAGGACTTAAGGAATAACAAGGAACAACAAAGGGAACATCCCAATCTTTCCGATTTGTGAACGTAAGCCTATTCAGCCCCACAACCCTTAAGGCTGTGATCGCTATACGTGAGGAGTGCGAGAGGTGAGATCATTCCATTATATAGTTTTCTCGCGCAATATAGTTTCCCGCGTGGCGGCGCCACGTGCAAGATTTTCATCAATGTATTTTACCAATATCATCCAGGGTTTTTATGCCGCAAGGCTTTTTTCTGACGAGCTAATAAAGCTTCGCATCTTTTATTGGCTTAACCACGTGTTTTATTTTACACCTGAACCTAACCCTTTATTCTCCATATAATAGCATATACGAAATTGCCAGAGGACTCTTAATTGAGGAATTTAGGCCATAACATAGACCCAGTTTTATCAAAACTAGCGGAATAAGGTCCAGTGGAGGATCTTCCTTGAAAGAAATTGACGGAAAAGCTTGTTGTGATATTGGCGCTGGGTACAGCCTACCGCTGTCAAACGTTTGCACTGATTAATATCTCGAGTATTACCATTTCAGAGTCAAAAATCTAAACCTGAATTCCTGGGAGGATTAAGACTTCTCGTCCAGGGGCCACGCAGCCGGTCTTAAGACTTTCATTTTTTTTGGACAAACCAGAATTATGTTTTGCCAAAACCTTGAAGCAATATCTCTTGGCGACTAAGGGGCTGCGAGGAGATGTTGATTTTTTGTTGATCTCAACCAACAAGCCGCATAAGGCGGTCAAGAGTGAAACGATCAGCCGGTGGAAAAGGACAACGTTGGAATCGCTGGGAGATGACAAGACACACTCCACGAGGCATGCATCGACGTCAAAAGCTTTTGACAAAGGCATTAGTATCAAGGAAATTAAAAAAGTAGCAGGCTGGTCCAAAAACTCCAAAATGTTTGCCGACTTTTACCACCAACTAGTAACTATTCACAACAAAAATTTTGTAAAGGTGATGTTAACAACCAATAAATCTGTATAATTATATTAGCTATAGGTATAAGCCGTTAAAAGTGTAAAGTATTTTATTTTTTCTTTTTATTCCGTTATAATCGGTTAATTACCATTGATACTAAGAGATTGTTGCTCTAAACAGTTACCTTTTTAATCTCGAAGCGCGAGACACGAAGGATAATTGCAAGACCTCACAAGCCCGCCAAAGGCGGGCGAAGTTTGTTCTCAATTATTCGAATGTTTTCCACGAGAGATACCCACCCAAACATTACCAAGTGTTACCCAATCCCAAAAAAAAAATGAAATACGATAGCTTTAAACTAATGAATAGATAGAAATAGGGCAGCGCCACGATGGTCGAGTGGCGCTTCCGTCGCTCACTTAGCTCTCAAGTGTGGTCCAAGGCATAAAAGTAGTACTACCTTCGTAATCTCTCGTGCGAGACACTCCAATAATTGTGATCAAACTTCACCCGCCTTCAGCGGGCTCATGAGATCTTGGAATTGTCTGTTATACATCATACATTTATACAGTCCACATCAAGCAATTGTAACGTAATCGCCAAAACTCAAGTTAATAAGCCATAGTTGACCAATAAAGTGCCTTTAGTATACTACAAAATCACTCAAATCGTATTAATATAACGTCGTGAGGCTTTCCGTACAATACGCACGTATAATTGCTACTTAAAAATTGTACGTTAGTTTGAAACGGATTCGCGTCAGCATAACATATAGTGCACGCGAACAATAATATCTATTTATTATTTATATTTAAATAAAATATAAATAATTTCTGCAATATTTATAACAACACTGACTTTAATAAACAGGTTTTATGATTGGATAATATAAGAATGATTAGATAATATTTTGTTGTCGGTTTTTATTTTTGATTAGTAACAGTTTCTATATGTAACAAAATTTACTGAACCAACAGAGTCTTGGTTTGATGTTTATCAAACATGAACTGGAATTACATTATGGTGAAATAATATTCTATTTATATAGATTAATTACATATCAGTACATAATTCTTTTTTTTATTTTATTTTTGTTATGTTAGGAAGACAAACCTTTATAGGAAACTAAAGTCCTTTACCTGAAAGTCTGTGAACTTAGAAATTAATTTAATAAATAGTCTTTTTCAAATGATAGATAAAGTAGAACTGGAAAAAAGTATATATTTATAAAAATCGTTTAGCGTATACGCGCATGTTTGCATTTTCTTCCTTTCCAATTGATATGCATAAGCGCATGAGCGTGTGTACTGGTGAAGGTTAGATCAAATGGATTCAATACAATACAAAAGTTTGAGAAGTAGATTTTATAGAGAAGAAAATAAAATAAATGTAAAACTAATTTAACTAAGATTAACATGTTACAATAAGTTATATTTTTAGAAGTCTTTATTTTTTTCAATTAATAATATTGTATATTTCATATATAATAACACGAATACCGAAATTCTCAATTAAAAACTTAAAATGCTTAGTATTTAAAATTTATTTTTTAATAGAAAAATCAATTATTACAATTGTTTTATTCGGAACATAGTACTGACAAAAATAATAAATTTTATCGTTTGATAAATCTCAAAAGTATAGTTTCAGCTGGTTTCAAAGTTATGGATATTTGTAGGCCAATATTTTCAACTGATACTGGATTATCTATTTCAACAGTAAATTTTCTCAATAGACTAGCAGCTATAGTTTTCACTTGTGCCATGGCAAAAAATTTACCTAAAAAAGTAATATTAAATAGAAATGTACTTTGAAAACAAAAAGTTTAGAAACTAAATAAGAAATGAATAATAATGTGCTCTTACCTACACATCCTCGTTTCCCAGAACCAAATGGAATGAAACACTTCGGATCATAATTTCCCGGAAGAAAACGATCAGGATTAAACCGTAAAGGATCCGTCCAATATTTATCCTTTCGATGCAAAGAATATATCGAAAAAAATAATGTAGTATTTTTTGGTACTACAATGTTGTCGTTCACTTCATATAATAATAAAATACATATTATTATAACAAAAGATAATAATTTAAATATTGGAAAAAAAATACGAATAGTATTTTTTGTGTATATGAATACCTATTATATCGCTACATGATGTTCGTCCAAAAAATGGARCAGKAGGAAAAAGACGAAGTGTTTCTTTTATGACTCGATCCAAATAATACATTTTCTTAGTATCATCGTATGTAATTTGATCATCATTCTCATTGCTTGAACCGTACATATCGCACAGCTCCTTATAAACTTTATTCTACAATCAAAAATGACAAATAAATAACACAAGTTTTGTACAAAAATAAATTTGATTTTTAAAAGGTTAGGATAAAATTGATAATGTTTAATGGTTATCAGTAGTTACCTGAATCTCAGGAAAAGATGCTAGCATTAAAAATAAAAATGTAAGAGTTCCTGCAGAAGTATCACTTCCCTAAAAAATAATAAAAAGTTTTAAGAATCAATTTATAAATAAAAATAAATCTTATCTAATCTAATAAAAAAATTATCTTACAGCAAAAATAAATGTATTTATTTCATCGCGAATATTTTCCTCCGAATATTTTCCGGTCTCGTAAAGTGATTCAAAAAGTGCGTCGAGAAATGGACTCGTATTTTTTACTTTATCTTTAGGAATAATACCAAATTATTTATTATTTATATCAAGGATAACTATCCATACATACATTACTAAAAGAATATTTTTGGAAATGATTATTCTTACTTGCATATAGACCATTTCCTTCATGGGTAAATTTCTCTTCCTCTATTGACTCTTTCTTTTTCCTTATAATCTTAATGAATAAAGTTATATATTAATATATATGAAGTATAAATAAAATATAATTTTTCTTAATACTGTAATATATAGTTACAACCAAAAAATTTGAAACAAACAATTAATTTTTATCTTACCTCGCTTGTTATATTATTAATGTATGCGAGATTTTCATGTAACCGCTTTCCTAGAGATGAATTTTTAAATATAATATTTGGATGTAACCATAATTTCGAGACCCTTTCCATMMTTAGATCCATTACYCTAAATAAAAATAAAATTTAATAAGAAGACAAATATAAAGTTATACTATATTATATAATAAATGTAATAATTTTCTTTTGATTATTACTCTTTTACATATCTAYCAAGTTTGCAGTCTAGGGTATTCTGCAAATTTAAATCAGATTCCAAWAGGCTATCTGTCAGTACAAAAAAACATAATTTGTTAAAGATTTTTACATGTCTGAATATTTTAAAAATTATAGAGTTTCTAATACTCACCAAATATTATGTCCAACGTACATAAATGTACGTAATGAAATATATCTACGTTTTCTCCGTTTCTAGTTTCTAAAATGTTTATTAGCCTTTTTGAATTCTTATTCAATGGCTCCATATAATATGAAAACATGTTGGCATTGAATTTTTTATCTAGTATTCTTCGATGTATTTTCCATAATACCGCTACAAATATAAAAATAGTTTTTACTTTTTTTTATTATTCGTTTTTTTATATATTTATTAGTAAAAAATTAGGAAAAGTTATATCTTCATATAGTTATTGACACACATGGGTGTGTAGACTTTTTATGCAAACGTAAAAAAAATAAACTATTATTACCAGCAATACTTTGTAAGAAATATTTACAACATACTAAATTATACTTTGAATGTTGGTAGTAGTTCTATATTAAATAAAAAGAAACCATGTGAACTTATAATTTACCTGGCGCTGTCAATAATCCATCGCCTAAAGTATCTTTAGTAAAGTTATATATGAAATTTTTCTCATCAGTTTTTAAGCTTTTCAAAAGAATCTGAAAAATGAAATAACAAATTTATATAATAAGATACGAAATAAAAAAAAATATTATTTGATTAAATCGTTTGTAAAAAAATGTGCAGTAAATTTAATAAATCTTACTTCAATATTTTCAGGATCATCGAAGAATAGGGCTAATTTTAATCCTATCCAGAGTTGCCAAGGAGAAGAATAGATTGCAGAGTATTGTATTATTTTACGAGTTACATCTATTTTTTAAGTAGATTTTTTCAATAAAAATGGTAAAAATGTATATACTGGAAATATGAAAATACAATATACCTTTTAAATCACCAAGAAATAAATGCATATTTCCTATAATAGGATAAGCTTTAGGACCTGGACATTTTTTTACCATCTTATGTTCCCGAAATTTATTTATTAAATATTTAATAAAATTGWATAATAGAATAATTATTATTGTTGRAACAATAAAGTATGCAATGTATTCCATGTTGAATTGAACAAATTAGAAATAGTAGAAGTTGTTTAATTCATTTAAAAATACTACTTTGCTTCTGTTTATAAGTAAGGGATAATTACAAAATTGCTACTCAGAAGTAACCTCCTTTATTCGCGTCTTTCCAGAAACTGAAAATGAGTAAACGAGCTCGAGCAAATTTATAGATTACCAAGACTGTTCTTTATCCATATTTTATGATACTTTCAATACGTAAGTGTGATATGTCATTCTTATAAAAAAAAAAGAAGCTATTTTTTATAAATTTATTTATTTTGCGCGCTTTAATACTAGCTATTAATTTTTGCAATCAATCATTACCATAGATTCCAAGGTTAAAAAATAGCAATCGATAGAATATATTTAGTTTTTTCTTAAAGAAGCCTTTTTATTTTACATTGCTTCTACATGATATTGTAATATGCTAATAAAGAAGTTTAATGCTAATGCTAATATGCTATGCTATCTATAAAGATGCTAATAAAGAAAAAAAAGATTAGACTAGTTTATTTTTCAATATTATATAAATGGTGTCGTTTAGTTTTAATTTTTAAGAAAAAATACATAACTTATCTTATCTAATTGAATTAATAAATTAATGAATTTATTTAATAAATAATTTCTAGGACAATTTACCTTCGGTTGCGTTTTTTTCAGGTTTTTAATTAGACTGACGCAGCAGCTCTCAGCAACTTTTACCAAAATCTGGGTGAATAGCCCAGGTGGTAGCGATGCACTATCCCATCACGACTACTAACCATCATTGGATCTAGTCTCAGCAGAGGGTATATCCTCCTTGACTTTGGCCATGGGTGAAGTGATGAAGCCGAAGCTGTTATACAACATTGTAGCATCGCACCTGACGTTAATCTGGGCTCTCATAACGTTTAGCTCGTTACGCTGCATCCATTATTGGTGCAAATAACGAGTATTAAAAGAGAAGGAAGAATAAAGTTATTAAACTGTTCTGAATGAAAAAGTAATTGTCTCCACTCCAAACAGGAAATAGGGAATTAAATATAACAGGAAATTAAATAAATGTAAAACGAAAGGAAATAATATAAAAAGACTTGAGAGGGAAATCAAATATATGGCTTTTCGTTTACAAAGGAAAAGAAATTAAAATTTGTAACATTATAAGGCTTATTGTTTTCAAAACAAATATTGTATTATTTTTAACTGATATTGTTGATCGTGTTAATCAGAAATATCTTGTATGGAAATAGAATTATTATATATATATTATACACAAAAGAATATTATATACATTCATTCGCGTATCATCATAGTCCAAAATTGTATCGTTAACCTGTTTTCTATGGATACTAAATCGGTTCTTTCCAACGATTGACATGTCGAGTGAATATACTCTCGTATGTAAACTTTACGCGTGTGAGCGATGCATAAACGAGTTACTGGCATACTACTTGGTAACGTTTGTCATACCTATGCCTTTTTATTTCCTTTTTAAAGTGAAAACTTCTTTAGAATGAGAGTAATTTGTAAAAATGTAACGATATGGCATAACGAAAACGGGTCGAAACGGATGTAAGAAGAGAAAAAAAAACAAACATATAGGCACCGTGCGTGATTGCAGCGCCATGGTATCTATGAACTAAAGAACGCTGCTGCTGAGGTTTTTAATATCTAAACGTATAGAGCTTTGCGATAACAATTTATTTTTGTTATTAAAAACATTGTTGTTACATATTTTTTATTAGTATAATTAACTTTGGTTGCTCCAGTAACTTCTGTAATTTCCGTTTGAGTTTCAGCATGAGATATTTCATCTTTGATGTATCTGTTGCAAATAAATGTTTGAGAATTTACATCAAAATTTGAGTTAAAGTCTACTTGACACCCCTGGTCGACTTTCTGTGGTGATACTGGTGGATTTTCAATCATTATTTCAACCAATTCATTAATTGGTGACTCAGTATAAGATGTTGATGATAATTAATTTTCTTTCGACGATCCTTTAAACGCTTGTACCTAAAAAAATTATTATATTACAATTTTTATATTTAACTTTCAAAAATAACAAAATTAAATTTTGCAATAATTAATTTTTTTGTATGAAATATAATTTATTAATCATTTATAATTATATTTTTTATTACTAACTATTTACCTGTTCTCAGCAGAAAGTTCATTCACTTTTCGATTCTTGTAATTTGGAGGAAATATTGTAAGAATATAGCTAGGACTTAACTCCTCTTCGGATTTTTTGCCTCCAATAAAATGATTACTACAAATATAATCGTATGATTTAAAAATCCACTGTGATCCATCAGGGCTTCAGGAAAAATTATAAAATATTACTGATACATTTAATTATTTGAGACACATAATAAATAATTTTTTATAATGAATTATAAAATTGAAAAAAAAATTAATTCTTGTAATAAGTAATTGTAAAGAATTAAATGCAGATTGATTATTCTCTAACTTTTATTTACTAATTATAAATTTAAATTTTTTGTTTTTATTCAACTTACAAATATTAGAACACAAGCTATTTTCAATATTATTGATGTAACGAAAATAAAGGTTAGGATACTACTTACTTTTGCCTCCTCACTGCAGTTACCCACATTTTTCTTTGATTGATTTTCCATTTGGCAGTCGGAAATTTGTAAAATTTAGGGGGGGGGGGTCCCAAATTCGAGACTCGTTGTTTACTCAGTTCGATAAGCTGAGAGAGCGATACAATTAAATGCGTTCTTTAGATTTTTCGTGGTTCATATCTTTATTTAGACAAGAGTATTTAGAAAGATAAGTTTATGGTCTAAAGAATAAAAACGAGATATGTTATAAATAATAAGAGTCTCAAAGAGTAACAGGGTATGCAGTTGAAAAATTATTTCTCGAAAAGATCTCTATTAGATCTCTCAATGCATTTGTACCAGAACTTTCGTTCAGTCCAGCAGTAATTTCCATATGTTTTTTGTAACGTCTTTATGTCGTCATTCCCCTAAAATGTTTGTTAGACAGCACAAAAATTTAGATGAAAACGAGAAATCGAAAAATATCCTAACAAATAAAATTTTATACCTGAGTTTTACAAAAAGGATAATTTATATATTTACTTAGTTTCCGACGAATTATATTTCCTTTGATAAACATTCTACGATTTTGGTTACTATCTATAACTATCGCATTCAGCATTCCATTTTTATTGCTTGAATTTGGAAAAGTGTATTTTTTATCAGCTATTTCACCCATAGACCATACCGGTGACCTTTGTTATATATGGTAATAATATTATAATAAATAAATCCTACAATTATCTTACTCTTGAAACTGTGCATTCGTCTGATTCTCTCGAAACTTAGATTTTTGAAGATTTCACTTCTAAAACGTGTGATCTGTCTTTTTATTTTTTTTTTTTAATCCGTTACTTGTCGATCGTTTTGTATCTGTATAGAAATAGAAAAAACGAGATAACAAAAAGAATAAAAACTAGGAAAGAGATACTTACGATTTAAAAAAAAAACCTGTGCATAATTAGTATACTTAGTATGCGAAAAAATTGATTGCAATATTATAATTAATCTCTTATGCACGGTTGGATGTTTTTCTAATCTTTTTCAAAGGCTGTTCTCTACGCGTTTACATTGTAATAAAGTTTTTCATGTATAAATTATAATTTTTTCTCAGAAAAATGATATACATATACTTTTTACTTAGTGTGTAAAACACTTTAGGAACTCGTGATGATTGAAGGTAAACAACATAAACAGCTTTATTTTTACAAGTAAGCACAATACGAATGTTACAGTATGTAGACATGTTACAAATATACGAATAATATAAAATAGGACGAATAACACTAGTAACACGAATAAGACGAATAAAACGAATAAAACGAATAAGACGAATAAGACGAGTAAAACGAATAAGACAAATAATTTCTAATAAAAAACACTCGACTCTCAATCCTTAGTAACAGTAACCGCCACAGTCCCCTTCTTTCCACACATTTATAGTCTAATAAGTAACACTCCTTTTGGAAAGAGTAGGAGATTCTCAGTTCGATTGACCAATAGCACAAGGGTCCATAGTCCATGGTCCACTAATGGGTACCGCATATGTTTTCGTCAGAGGGAACAGTGCACAAGGAGATCTTTATCTACCAATGTTATTATTCTACCAATGTTTTTCAATGCAACTATAATTAACGAAAATATTTCGATTTTCTTAATGAAATTCTCTATTTTGTATACATTTTTTTAATTAACATTATTTTCCAAAACTCCATGAATTTCATTGAAAACTCAACAATAAATTTTAAAATACATATTTATATTCATACTTAGATAAAATAATAGAAATTTGTTCATAATCGCGAGTGTATATTAACACTAGATTGCCCGAGATTTCTTGTATAGCTATATTGCCCAAAAACAGTCAAAATGACTGCATTGTGAAAAAATAACTAATGTGTAAACAAATTTGTTTAAAATTAATTTTTAATATTTCTTATATTATTTACAGTTATACAACAAGTTATTAGTAAATATTAACAATAAAAACCAAATTCTAAGAAATTGTGTCATTATATACATAATTGTTTTTCTAATTGAAAATAAAAAACAGTCAAAATGACTGCCTTGGGCAATCTAGTGTTAAAAATACTTGTATACGTATAGAATATTTTAAGTAAAAAAATATGTAGGGAAAATACAATGGTGTCGTTAAAATGGTAAAAAAGTTTTCTTTCGTCGTGATACGAATCGATTTGGAGTAAAAGGAAAATCCTCTGTATTGTAGTCACGACGATACGAAAAAGTATCCGAAGGTTTGTGTTCTATATCTTTCTCTTTTTTTTTCTCATCTTTCTTTATTCTTTTTCTTATTTCTTTCTTTTTTCCTTTTCGTCATCCTCTGGAGAACGATAGCGTAATGGTCGACTTCCTGGTTCCTAATGGCTGGACGTTTTGAGTGGGTAGAACCCTTACACTAGGCTACAATATTCTTCTATATGTATGTACTTTCTATATATACACAAACACACACAATATATACAATACATACATTACATATACATAAACGATAATCGAGCTGATCTAAAGCTACCTGTTTCCGACCATGCAGGAAAATACTCATATGTTAAACTCACCTGTGCAGGTTTAGAATCTCC